TCACCCGAAACAAGGGAGGAAGTCTTGTGGACTGCGTCAACATGAATATCGTATAAAAGCCAAACGGCTGCAGTACGAGAATCATCCGTCATCATCTAGTGAGATCGACCAACGAATCTATTCTTCATTCACCTTCATAAGAACTGAAAGTCTTCCTAACAATATTATCTCAAGTGATTAATCGAAACCCAATTTCTCTTCATATCTGAATAAATGAACTCATGTCTGGTAAACAGAAATATCCCTTAACCTTATTGCATAAGCTATAGTTACAAATAGGTTAAATACTTCTCCAGACACTAAAGTAGCATGGCATTCCTGCTTTCTTTTCGTTGCTTGATTTCTATTTATTACAAAATAATTATGAGCGTAAATGTTGTGCCATAGTTAATAACCTCCGAGAGTGTTTGTCAATGTAGATAAAATAAATTGGTATTACAATTCTTAAGTTAATGAATAATTGATTGATAATATATTCAAAAATTTAAAAGAATAAATTAGCTTAAGATTTGTTCTGTTTGAATCACTAGTGGCGCTTGATTATCTTCATAAAGCTTGCGCGCTTTTTCTGGTAGGCTTTCTTTGGTTTTTCCCGTGTTATCTATTCTCTTATTTCATATAATTATTTACGTGCTCTGTAGGGTTTTAACCCTCTCATTAATAATTTTGTGTTTTTATTATTAATTTTAGAAGAAAGATGCTTTGGGATATAATCCTAAATGAAAATGATATAAACTCTATTTTGAGTGACCCTGTAATTATTCCATTTTTCTAATTAAAACATAGGATGTGACCTTAATTCGGATCCTAGAGGAAGAAAATATTCTTCAAATAATAAGAGAAAATAATCCTAAATTGACGGAATTGTTAGTCTGACTACATTGCTTAAATTTTAGCCTCACTCGCCATGACATTATGAATGAAATGCTCCGCATTGTTGTAGGAGATTATAGGCAGGATTTGCCTTTAATGGAAAAATTCAAGTAAGTCATCTTATCAACTCTTAGTGCATGCTATTTGATATTTCGTAAAGTATCTTTACTTCGCACCGCCTATCCGCTTCCCAATGAACTCTTTCTTATCGAGTCATGTTCATACAATTTCTTTTTATAGATATCCTAGTGTTGCTTGCGAAATTTTGACAAGCAACTCTGAATCACTTCTGGATTGCATGCTTGAGGAGCAACTTGTAAATTCTATTGATGATTCCCTCCTGACCTCAGCCATGGAAATTGATACATCATGCACAAACGAAGTGTCTTCTTCAATACTTGATAATTCAGCTGATTCGACGAGCTCATCCATGGATATTGTAAACAATATAGACAAAAGTAGCTATCGTGCCCGTTTGCCCTCTTCTAGGCCGCACATCGACACTCTTCTAAAATTTTTTGATGTCCAAATGGCACTTGCTAAGTGTCCATGTTCTGATCCTGAAATAACTGACTGTACTGGTATTAATCCATTGTACTCAAGCTACTTTTCACGCATAATGATTCATCTTGCCAGCCAGAGGACAGATAAGGTAGGCTGGCTGGAACTTATTCCTTTAATGGCTATCGAATTTTCATATATTCCATTTTTTTCTCTTCTATAACTTATTTTAGATAATACCTTATCTACGGACCCGTCATAACTTTCTTTCTAACCTCTTGGATCATTTGGGCATCCCAGCTATAGCGGATCTTCTAGTACAATTCGTGAAGCAAGAGAAGCTAGTCATTCTTGAGGTGTATAATTTGTCCGTTATTTTATTTTTAAAAATTTATTTACCAGACTTGGAATATGTTGAAGGCAAAATAGAATGTTTATTGCGCCATCTCGATAAGGATATTGATAAATATTAATAGGAAGGTTACAAGTATTTCATTGCCAAATTAAATCCAATTAGTGTCTTTTGGGAATGAGAGTTTATCCTTGCCCTTTGACCTTTCTAAATGAGTAGAGTTTTTTCAATCTGTACTCAACTTATTGCTTCAGGAAATTTGGGAATCCTGAAATTCCCTTCTCTGCATTTTAATTATTACCGATGAAAATTTCCCCTGCTCTCGGATATGTGAATCTAGGACATGGGCCATATCATTACCAAATAGACACATTTCCATAGCACTTTGGAGTCGTAAGGAAAGTATATTTTACTTCATATGACATATTTTCATCCCCAGTCGATGGGAGAAGCTTAAGGTTCATTTTTCTCACATTCACAATCTTATTTTTCCTCGCTTAGCTTGGTAATATTTGAACTGGTACTAAATTAAAGCCACATTTAAAAAGTGAATAGGTAACCTCTAATCACAAGTGATTGAGCATAACGGCTTTCCATAGACAGCCGCTATGGCTCTTCTCATTTAAATATTCGAATTATTGACTTGTAATTTTGTAATTTTAAGTATAAATTCATCGGACCACTTAACCTAAAATTGTTACGAACTCGTTATATATATATATATAAGAAGTGTGAAGCCTTAGAGGTCTCCCTAATTAAGCTTTTCCTGCATTGTCTTTGCATTTTTCGTTTTCATTGTGAATAGATAGTATGATCTGCTATGTATCTTATTAACCCTACAATACTCGCTTTTTGAAATTGTTGAATAATCGGAGTCCTAACTACATACCAAACACTCCTGCTTCCTTCAAACAATTACTTTGAAGTTGACCTCGCACTTTCAGCTACGTGCTGGGGCATGACTACCCAACCGGATCTGAAGAAGGAAATACAGCTACCGAAGTAGCTTATCCAGAACAGTGAGTTACAAGCCAAGAGCAATTATGTTGCGTGAAATCGGAAATAAAAAATCATGGTGCACACAATTCGGAAATCAGTCCTCGTAAGTAAAACGAGAGGTCTAGGGACAATCATGCGTCAGTAGCTCCTACTTTTAAACCTTGCCTAGTAGGCATGTCGGTTTCTTATTGGCCAGCATAATGTAGGCGCCTGAAAGATATTCACGAATGGTCATTAGTCAAAGTAAGCGTTTTGAGATAGCTGCGCATACATTGTAACGAAACTAACCGTTGTAACGGCAAAAGTTTGGGGTGAGTCATTAGAAGCTTATAATATCTTAAAGTGGGTTGATCTCATTTTCGCCACTTGGTCTTGCCTTCAGGGCGAGTTAGCTGAATTCACCTTGCCAAAAGTCCTCTGCCATAATAGTTACCATAGTTCCAAGAATCAGACCGTGTACTTAGTACATTCTCAAATGTATTATGGCAGAGGATTTCGGACAAGGTGCGCTCAATTAAGTCGCCCTGACAACAAGACAAAGTTGTGAAGACGAGGTTAACCCACTTTTATAAATCAAAAGGAGACTGCGGCTATACCGAGGGCCACACTATATTGGTCTTCATATCTCTTATAATATATTATTATGTTCTTTGGTAGCCTTGCTTCAATTATGATGTAAACTGGGGCTACTTCAAATTGAGGAATTTTTCAAAAATAGTATTAGAAATCTGTGCTCTTAGGCCTTTTGTTAATAGGGTGAAAAGCTAGCAAACGATTGCTTGGATAAAAGTACAAGAAGAAATATAGATTTAGTTGGCGCATAGCTCGCAAATTTTTGAGTTGACTGAAGTCGGCCGAATATTTGTTGTATTCATATTATCTGATTGTTATGTGCAACTGAAATCTTATGCGTTCTCACTAAATCTCATTGGCTTCAATTAGTGTTTGTTGTAGGAAAGGATGCACTGACGCATCGGGGAATCAACAGCAGTAAATGGGAAGTTATTTATTTATTCCTTCTAAATATGTTCACCTCGAGCATCCGTATGCCTACGCCAGGGGGACATCTACAATGTACGAGGTAGTGTGTTGAGAGAGACTGTCCGGACAAATAACGGGAATGAGGGTTTATCACAGTATAAATAGTGACTAGATGCAGGGTCCTGTCTTTGCTCTTCGCTCAAGAGATCAAACTCCACAAGTTGAACTGCAATTTACATATCTTCTTTCTATCTATAGCTTGACATTCTATGCCTAATAAGCACTATTTGTTGAGGTTTTGGTTGGACGTTTCTTATGTTCGTACAAAATGGGCATGATCATACAGGAAATTTTGGGGTCATGGTCATACAAATAATATGTTAAGTTCTAAGAATGTGATTTTTTGCTGCATTTTTGCAGTAAAAGCATATCCTCATTCTATGGTGATAACAAATCTTGTATCTATTTCTTTTTTATTAGTGGTTCAACGAAGAACATCTCATTCGGCGTCTGCTGGATGGACTTTCTGCTAAAAATTCCTCTGATGTAAGAGATCATTCTGTTATTCTTTATAAATCAAGCTTGCTCACTAATTGAAATATTCCTTTAATGCTCTTTACTACATTAATTTCAGTCTGATAATTTTTCATTTTTTGGTCGTCTCACCCACGAGGTTTGTGCCTTTTTCAAACCTTGATGCTTGCATATCTTTAATTGCAAAAGATTTGTAAGTTGTTTCTACCAGAAGCCGAAGGAACACAACCTCGCGACCCAAACGAATCCTTGCTGAGCTTTCACCCGTTATTTTACTTTTCAGCATGAATGTAGGGAAAGCACAAAATAGCCAATAAGATTATACGAGGCCTTATTAAATAGATAAACTTAGGCTATAAGAAGTAGGTAAGATTGCAGTCGTTACACCGAGGATTTATTCGTACAAATCTTAAGTCACAGCTTCGGGGAAAACCTCCGGCTTCAAATGGGTCCAACTTACGAATCCTCTTTACTAACTTCATTGAACGAAGTGTTAAGTATGCTAACGTCAATGTATTCAGGGATTATTTGAAGTTCACGTCCTCTACATATCTATTTTAAATCTTGGTTATATTGCTATTTTAAAAAGATTAGATTACTTTTATATAAAAGTTTTATACAGAGTATTCATGAAGTCTTCATTTATTTCGTTCTATATAATAATAAAGCAATCTTAAATTCTATATTTTCTTTGATTTTAATTAACGACCGATTAATAACTCAATATTTATTAAATTTGGTTCATTTCACAGATGACAACTATTGACATAAAATTAGGATTTGAGACTGCTTAAGGGCTTTGTTTTGGGAAACAAATATTTTATAATCTCTTTTAGATGATGAACGGCTCTACTTCTATTATTTTACTTGAAAATACGCCGTATTTTTGCCTTAAAAGTCTTTGGATTGGGTGCTTTTGGTGACGCACTTATATATATCGTAATTTTAAAGAATTGACTCGAATGATTCAGGCTTTGAAACAGGTTTTAAAATTCTTTTTTTATAACACAACTAGACCACCTGAACTTGTGTTCAACCATTTATGCTGAACCCTACACAGTTATAATGAAATGGCTGAGACTTTACGATTGGCTTACGGAATCGTGGCAAGATTTCGAGATTAACAGTGATTATTGATTAAGAACTCAGTCACTCCAGTTAGCTGAGGATGATTTAAGAACTGATGTTTGAGTTTTTCCACGTTGATATGAGTAGAACTCACAAAGTCAATGAATTTTATTCAACCACTTCTCTCAGAAGTAGTGTCTGACACCAACTAGGCTTTTTGAGTCCTCCGCGAAATTGGCTCAGCAGTTTCAGAGTCGAATTGTCATGATTTAGTACATATTCGTCTAGGCTATGTTGAAGGGCCACATAAAGCATGATTTTGCTACTTAATTTCCTTTTTTATTGGTTTTATAGACCTTCATCACCTTTAACGAAGTAGGGTGAATTCAGTTCTTAATTTACTTTTGATTACTTTTCCATATTTGAGTCCTCGCTTTCATTTATCTTTTATGTTTTCTAATATATTTTTCTAAGTTACTTTTCTTCTTAGTGTATCATTTTGCCGAGAATTTAC